CGGCTTTTACCGAGACTCTTGATGAACCCATTTCTTTGCATATCTTGGCTATGATCACCCAGGGGCTTCAGCATTCAGACCGTGAAGAACAAGAAAGGCGCTAAGGCGATATTGTTGCTAAAAAAGGCGTTCATTAGCAGGGTTGGTGGAGGTGTGTGGTGTGCGAGAGGAGTCCAACGACGCCGGCAATATCGGCGGATCTTCTTGCTGGGGAAAACGGCCGAGTCCACTTTCCACACGAGGCCCAATTATTCCTCCTGTCAGCACCTTTCATTATGTCTGCATGACTCAATGGGCGTCGGTGAGTGGTCGATGCTGAGGGCTGGCTCGGTCGGAGCGCCGAAAAGAAAAACTGGGTGGGAGTGGCACCCACTTTTAATCTGAAACACCACGGCCTTGAATAAGATTGTCCAGGCACACCACCAGGGGCCCAGGACAGCCGGTTTAATCAACTACAGAACGATGAGTGTCACACTACCCTGCTCAGGCTTGAGCTCGATTGGATTTTAGCTGGAGCATCGCACTGGAGAAAAGCTGCTGTTCGCCTTCATATAAGGACGGTCGCGGAACCAGTTTCCTGCATTGCAACCCATGCTCTTTTCCCGACCGTTTCCATTGCGCACTGAAAATTAATCGTCACTCTTTATAAGTACCTCATCATGGTCGCCTACTCGTCTCTTCTCCTCGCTCTTTCGGCTGCCTCGAGCGCCGTCGCTCTCCCCAACGGCAAGGCCCTGCTGGACATGGCCAAGCGCAGCCTTACTTCTTCCGCGGAAGGCGAGAGCAACGGCTACTTCTACTCCTTCTGGACCAACGGTGAGGGCGACGTGACCTACACCAACGGCGACGGTGGTGAATATACCGTTGAGTGGACCGACTGTGGTGACTTCGTGGCCGGCAAGGGTTGGAACCCTGGCAGTGCTCAGTAAGGACATCCCCACAGCTGTTCTGGGATTATATGGGTGTTAATCATTTCTTTAGAACCGTTACCTACAGCGGATCATGGGAAACCAACGCCAATGCCTACCTGTCCGTCTACGGTTGGACCACCTCTCCCCTGGTCGAATTCTACATCGTCGACAAGTACGGTGACTACGACCCCTCCTCTGGCCTGACCGAGCTCGGAACCGTCGACAGCGACGATGGAACCTACAAGATCTACCAGACCACCCGTGAGAATGCCGACTCGGTTGAGGGCACTGCCACCTTCAAGCAGTACTGGTCCGTGCGCACTGAGGGCCGGATCGGTGGAACTGTCACCACCCAGAACCACTTCGATGCCTGGGAGAACCTTGGTCTGGAGCTTGGTACCTTCAACTACATGATTGTCGCCACTGAGGGATACGAGAGCAGCGGGTCTGCCACCATCACCGTTGATGCCTCTTCTGACAGTACTGAGGAGAGCTGCTAAACGCTCTTCTGAAGTGACTACTTTTGTCTTCTGTATATAATCAGTCTCGATCGGGTTTCACTTCTTGACCGAACTCATAATACCATTGTCACATCTGGTGTGGACACCTAGGCCGCAACATTGTTCTTCGACATTCACTTGCGTATTATCTTACCTGCTATAGGCATTAGGCGACACCTTTATTGCAGCGACAAGAACTGCCGAGGTGAGAGAGACACGAGAAGCAGTTTTAGGTAATAGCGCTGAAGTTACTCCAAGCACGCTACTGTAAGGCTCTCTTGGCTTTCGGCAACACTGCTACTGTCATGGACGACCAGCAAGTGTCAAGCCGGACCGGAAAAAGAGAGTGGAGCGTCGTTTGAGTGCTTGAAGTCACGGAGCAGGTCCGAGAGCTATAGCCTTATGATCCTGATATTTAGAGCTCAAGACCCCCAGGCTCCTTCTACTGGCGATTCTGAACCCTGAGAGCCCGAAAGACTGACTGGCGCCATTGTTGACGGCCATCTTAAACAGGTAAACCAAAACACATCGTTCGAGGACAATACAACACCGTAGCCAGCACAGCTACCACTACGGTCTTTTACTATCTCTCTGAATGGCTTTATTGTAGCGACTCTACCCCTAAAAAGCCACTGCCATATTGAACAAAGCTACTACGAGGCCCCTAGATCCTGGTCCCTGCTGCTTCACTGATATGCGATTACGTCCAGCATACTCCCTGACCCATCCCTAGTTTGCATATGTCATAACCATGGTTGATAGCTCTACTCCTTGAACTACCGGTACCCTCCTCCGGTGGAGAGTCATGAACATCCAGCGGTGAAGGCCCATTCAAGCATCTCCGATTAGTCAGGGAACCCTTTTCCCACGGGGTACCCCGCAATTCGGCACGATGATCCCCCGACCACGCCTAACCATCAGGGCCAATCAAGACCCGGCCAGCCATCGGTAATGTCGGCCCAGCCGGACTAGACGTGCCCTGCTCGGGACAATCCATGGCGAGTTGCTGGCAGCTGGACTGCAGGAGCTTCCCGTCCTGGCTTCGGGTGTATTAGCCCGACTGTTGTCCAGCGAGATCCAAATGCTTAATTGAGCTTGTCCTGTCCTTTCTCTCATCCCTTTTCCGTCCAGTTCTATCCATCCGGGTATGTACTAGAATCATCCTCGACGACGGTCAAGATGCGTCTTTGGAAACATGACTTTCGGGGCAGGGCCCTGATCATTGCTATCACTATGGCCTCTTGCCAGGCCTTTCTCTTGCTAGGTTTTGACCAAGGTTAGTTTTTTTCTCACAGTTTCCTGGATAGGGATTGATGGGGGCTAACAATATGGGGTTCATAGGTGTCATGTCCGGCATTGTGGGCGCGGATAATCGTTTCGCGCGCGACTTCAACAACCCCGACGCAGCGATGCAGGGCAATATCACCGGTCTGTACGATATCGGCTGCGTGGTCGGGTCCATCATCTGCTACTTCATCGGTGAGAGAATGGGTCGACGTACCATGCTGATGATGGGCGGGTTCATCATGATCATCGGGACCGTCATCCTCGCTTCCTCCTATACAATAGCACAGCTGCTGGTCGGCCGAATCGTTACCGGGCTGGGTAATGGAATGAACTCTTCCACTGCCCCGGTCTATCAGAGTGAATGTTCTCCAGCAGCATACCGTGGTACCCTGCTCACGCTGCAGGGGACTGTGACTATCCTGGGCGTGGTGATCGCCTACTGGTGAGACTGTCCTATGCCCCCCTTATACATACCCATAAACTAACGGAGAGTAAATCTGCATAGGATGGATTACGGCACCAGCTTTACTGATTCCTCATATGAATGGCGCCTCCCCCTCGCCTTCCAGGCCGTCTTCGCTATATGCCTCATCTTGCAGGTGGTCGGTCTTCCCGAAAGTCCTCGTTGGCTGGTCCAACACGACCGACACGATGAAGCCCGCGCTGTGGTTGCTGCCATCGAAGATACTACCATCGACGATGCAAACGTCATCAAGACCATCATGGACATTCAGTTCGTGCTGGAGGAGGAACAAAAGGACGGTCCGTTCCGCGTCAAGGAGCTATTCACCTGGGGCGAGGTACAGAACCTCCGACGTCTATTTATCACCATCACCATTGAATTAGGGCAACAATTCACTGGGAGCAATATGATAAATTATTATTGTTGGAATATGATGTAGTATCTTGTAATGTAAGGCAATCTTGTTATTGCTGTTGAATCTAACTAACTAAATACTAAGGATTTCTCTCTGCTTTTATATCTTTGGAGTCTCTTGCCAAGGCTTGTAATTCTGGGGGATTCCAAGCTAGTACAGGAAGATACCACTACTGCAATTTAGGCAAGTTCCAGGGCCTTTCCTGATTCCTGGAGTTTTCCAGTATCATTTACGTTTTATCAGCATCACGTGATCTTCTGTTCTTCAATTATGGTCCTGTCATGTTCCAAGAAACCATGAATATGAGTCGGAATTTGTCGCTTATCCTCGGCGGCGCTATGCAATGCACCTACCTGGTTGGCTCGGCAATTCCGGTGTTTCTGATGGACCGGTACGGCCGGCGTACCCTGCTAATGGTATGCTCAGCGGGTTTGTGTCTGTGCTTCGTTATGGTATCGATCCTGCTCTCACTGGACCGTGAGGACTGTGCCTACGGAGCCACCGTCTTCATCTTCATCTTCCAGATCTTCTACGGCGTCGGCTGGCTACCCGTCCCGTGGTTCTACCCGGCCGAGCTGAACACAACGCGGGTACGGACGCGAATGCAGGCCATTGCATCCGGCTGGAACTGGATGGCTGTGTTTGCCGTGGTGAAGATCACTCCGATTGCATTTGGTAAGTTTTGCTTGCTTGCTTGCTGCGGTTGACAAACCTCGTGACAAACAATACTGACATATGATACGTGTAGACAACATCGGCTGGCGCACCTTTGTTATCTTTGCGGTATTGAACGCCGTCTTCATCCCCATGGTGTACTTCTTCTACCCGGAGACCAAGGGCCTCGAGCTCGAGGATATCCCCTTGCTTTTCCACAAGGGTGGAATCACCGGAGGTGTGTTTACCTCGAAGGGTGGACGCACTGTCACACCGGGGCAGCATGCGCTGGAAGCCCGCGTCGACCAGAAGGTCGAGGGCACGGTGCAGCAAGTAGAGCATGCATAGAAGTATTATCTGTTTATCTTTTGGGTTTCTAGATCTCGGTTTTATAATGTCGGACTATCTGTCTACAATGAAGGAATGAATCACGTCATGTCATTATTTCTCGATAGAGTAGATGATCATAGTCATACAATCGGCTAACTAGTTGCCGCCGGATAGATAGATAGATAGAAATAGAAAGCGAACGAACGACATAAAGATCAGCACGAGCGATCGACACAGTAATACGCACACCCATAAATAGACAAGGAAAAAGAAACCCACTCACCAATTTTAAAATAACAAGACAGTCTGTTTCACCTTACCGAAATGAAGAACAGAACAGCTCAAACACAACAATCTCAGTACGTAGTCATAAATCATAACCATACCCATACCAATACCCATCCATAACCCTATCGGACATTATGATCAACTCCCTGATCTCACATCTCATCCAACTTCGGCGGCTCTTCCTCCCCTAAATCCTTATCTAGATCCCGAGTAGTCGTCCGCTGCTGCTTCTGCTGGATATTGATATCGCCACGGTCGGCTTTAACCTGTTGTGCGCGGTGCCTTAGCCAATTCTCATAACCAACCCACTTACTTTACCTTACCCTGACGAACGAAGGGTAGAAGGGGAGATAAACGCACCGAGGTCTCACTAGAAGTAGCATGGATCTCTTCCCAGTGGCCCATTTCCTTTTCTGGCTTTTTGACGAGACTGGGAGTATCCTCCAAGTTGTCTGGGTAGGAAGGAGGGATGAAGACTGAGATAGTTAGTTCCTATCCTTTCTTCTTCTTTGATGGTGAAAAGGATAAGAGGTGGTGGGATGTGGGTGGCAAACGTACACTCCTCACCCTTGGTGCTATGTACATCAGGCGGATGGTAGTAGCACACGCGGGCGGAATAGGCCGGACGAAGGACGAGAGGACGACTGAGAGTGGAAGCTCGTCTGAGGATCATTGTTGGTAGATTTTGATTTGATTGATTTGTCGATCAGTTAGTGGGTTGAGTTGAGTTGGAGTAGATGAATTCGTGATGGATGCGTAGGATGGCGTCTGGACTTAGTAGTAGTAAATTGATGGGTGGAAAGGACGGGAAGAAATAGCGTGGGGATGGCAGGTAGGATTAATTGTGACAGACAGCAAGAGAGTTTGGGTCGTGATGTCAGAGCCACTTTTGACACTTGCTGGTTTGAGTTTCAGGCGTGTGACAGGTCACGTTTCAGTCCCGTGCCTAGTTATCATTTGGACGTGAGACTGACATCTCGCTTCGGCCGAATAATGTGTCGATCGTTTGATATTTGTTGAACTTTCGTTATCTATTCGATCCAGTGTATACATCACCTCTCCCCCTCCCCTTCTGGTATCTATAAACCACAAGATATTGAGTCAGGCTTAATCAATTAGATTAAGATTCATCTATCAACTGATTAAAGCTTATTTACCAAAAACCCCGGTCAATCTAATCAGGTCCGCTCCCCATCGTTCCCCCTTTTGAGGTTCGTGATGAGTCTCATTGGTGTCAAGGGTGGAAGAATAAGGTGGCGGAGACAACGAAAAAAAGGGATGTGACTCCACTATCGTCGCCTCGTATCGGACTGCGGGCCTGTCTTAAAAAACTAGTGAGGACCTTAAAAGGGGTTCACGGGCTTTGCTCGAGTCCAAACTCATTACTATTAGTAGTTCCTTCGGAGCTCAAGACCATTTAGAGATAATCCCCTGTCTGGGATAAATGAAGGATGAGGATGCAGGTGACTGATCGGAGACCTTGATATGCTTTCTGCAATCCAGTGGGGTAGAGTTTGGGGTACTACATGCCTGCTTGGGCAATGCCCGATAACAGATGACGATAGCATAATTCAACAAAGCGATCTGGTTGCCGGGAATTACCTAGCATGGTCTAGATAGATGAGGCTGTTAGTGGTTCCCCTATCTTTTTTTTTCTTCTGGAAAGGACCACCAACCACCAACCACCAACCACCATCAACGGGCGCCATCCGCACAGAAAGTCGGTGTGTTGACCGGAAAAGACCAAGCACGCTTCTTCGTTATTCCGCTAGTTGACGTCTTTCCGTGGTTCCCGACCTCCCCAATGAATTTCCAGACCCAAAATGATGAGTGTCTTGTGTCCTGCAGAAAGGTGCGCAGTCCGGTGTTCCAGGTCGTCTGAGGATCATGCAACCATCGCTTAACGCTCGCCTCGACGACTTGTCATTGGAATCTGCAAGGCTTTGCCCGTCCATTTTTTTGGTTGACGGCAAACTGGCGGGACGGCGCTCCACAATTCTCCATCGTGGACGGGCGAAGCGTAATCTCCCCATCAATTGCCGACCACGAACCAATTGAATACCGGTCTGGAAAATTTTTGACACACTAGGGCCATTTTAGGCATCAGCTGCGGGAATGCATCGAGCTTGTAGCATTGTGACGTGAGATGAGGTTCGGCGGCCATCGTTGAGGGCTGATCAGCACAATTACAAGCATCGGCTAGAAGATGGCTAGCTAAACCTTCATTGCGTTGATCGGCCGCTGCCAAGTCACTCATAGGTCTGACAGCTGCTATGGATGGAGACCAAGCAGGTCTCAGGTTGATGTCGACCCCTCCTAAGTCTCGGCTCGTGGGGATAGCAAGGACGGGGTGGAGTGGTCGATCAGTATTAAGGAGACCGCAGGGAGAAGGGGCGATTACTATTGAGCAATCGATGACAGACGAAGCGGAGCCGAAAATTCCTACTGATCACTTCAGCCGCCCCACTGATTCGCTGTCGTTATTTCCCAATTCATGGCCTGAGGGGTCGCAATCTGCAACATGTCAGGTTTTTTTTTGAATCGGGCATGGCAGGGTATATACTTGTTCGACCGTGTGTCGGGGGGCCAGTTTCTTTGGAAGAACATTTCAATGACTCCCCTGCCCACCTCCGCCGGTTCTCTTCTCTTCCTTCAGCTCCAGTGTCTTCACCCCAGCTTGCACCATGTCTGAACCCGGCTACCATGCAGAAAACCACCCAAGGCACGTCGATCGCAAAGCCCTGTACACCGATCTAGAGGCCCGGATCGATTATTTGCAAAGATTCCTTGACTTTAATGCCGGTTGGTGCCCCCCAGCGTCCCCGGTCTTCCCCACAAGGCTGTTTATGTTCATTCAATACTTTTCCGCGGAAGATGATTCTCCGCGGCAACACCGCATCAACTAACTCGGGATCAATACAGACGATGTCGCAACTCTTGTCCGGGGTGCCAAATATGTCAAGGCCCTAGCTCCTACCGTGGTGGATAAGGTGTATGTGAAACTTCTAGAGTTTGACATCACGGCGCGTGTCTTCCGCACTCGGAACACTGCGATAGAAGAAGAACCAGACGACTATCCTACCCTCAATAGCCCAGCAGTTCAGCGTCGCCGTCAATTTCTTCGCTGGTATATGACGAAATTATGTTCCGATCCAACCAAGCCTGAATTCTGGAGATACTTGAACCAAGTCGGGTATGCAAACTTCCCCCTTGTATGGGCTCACGTTACTAACCGGCTATGTCAGACGCATGCACTATGGGAAGGAACGGCTGCACTCGTTGAATGTCGAGTACATTCATATCGGCGCCTGCCTTGGCTTCATCCAAGACATCGTCATGGAGGCAGTTCTAACATACGAAAAGCTCACGCTGCCGTTCCGGATAGCACTAGTCCGAGCTCTGGGCAAGGTGATATGGATTCAGAACGATCTCTTTGCGAGATGGCGTCTTCATGACGGGGAAGAGTTCGAAGAAGAGATTGAGACTTCACACAAGCAACAAGAAGCCGCTCCCCAAGTCACACCTAAGCCCAGCTCGACATACTTGCGGGCCGATGGATCGTCTTGCGTGAAGACTTCAACAGCCAGCTCGACATCCTCTTCCGAATTTGCCAGTCTCTTTTCGGAAACGTCATCGCTCGAGACCACTCCATCTCCACCCACCATTTCAGCCCCCACGCAATATGCGCAACGGTCGGCGTGTCCGTTCTCTAACGGCCCCAAGCAAGGCGTCGAGACCAAGGTCTGGTCTAGCGCATGGAATTCCGGATCCGTCGGATCTGGCGGCACTCGGCGCTAGCCCGAGGGCGACACTTCTTTGCTAATATGATACGTGTAATGATAATATCTGTTGATCGGACGAGATAGATTGGGCGTGTGTTTCATTCTGTTTGTTATACCCACAAGGATCTGGCTTGCGGACAGTTGATCAAGAGCGAAATAAATGATTTTTGATGCATACAATTGTGCAATTCTTCGCATGGGGCGTTTTGAGTGCCGTGCCTACTAGACTATGGATAGGGATGACGTGAGCATCAGAGCGTTGAGGCTAGAATTGGGGGCGGGGCCCGGTGAATGATGATGGCAGCAGGTCTGAATAAACACTAATTGCTGACTCGACCCATTAGAAGTGGACCCTGTCTGTGCCATTGTCGATGTAGCTGAGAAAATCAAGTCCGATATTGTGGCTTTGCATCGGATTGAAGCAGAAGGAATCGATAGTAGTAGCCCCAAGCTAATAGCTGCTCCGGCCGCGGCCGCCGAAACTGATTTGATACACCTAGACTCACAGAATTCGCCCAAGGTACTTGATGCCGAGGCGACCGCGGTAGAATTGCAAACACTGTGTTCTCGTCGCTGGAATAGGTTGCCGGCGCGGTTCGGGAAGCACTTTTGGGTGATCCCCCAATGATCCTCGGGTCGTTGTTGTAGCTGAAGAGCCATCATCTGCTCAGCCAGATGTTCGAGGATAGGCGTGGCCTGCTGGGCTCTGCACCGCCGAGCGGACGCAAACGGCTGCTGTTAATGTGACTTTACAATAGCCGATTTCTCGCAGCACTTCACACCAGAATGTTTAATGATGGTGTCCGACCGTGTGGAGTGTTTATTGCTCGCTGTGGGAACCTCAATATGTGAATCAATGCCTGTATGATGTAAGTACTGAGAGGTCATGACTGACGATACACCGACCGGAGTACCTGTTCTTATGGATGTGCTCGGGACGAGAAGGTGTCAAAACTCATCCTCGGTATGAATTACACCGTGCAGGGTTCTCAAAGTGTAAATGATCAGCATTCCTGCATGTCATCCAATCTGTAAGAACTTAGTCAAGGAAGTTTGGCACTTTCCATCCCTTGGCATACATCTGCCGGCGTGTCTCCTCTTTACCTGCCTGGTGCTTGAACGAGGAATGTTGACAGATGAACCGCTCCAGGAACTCCAAAGCCACCTGTCCGAAGAAGTTTCTCCTGACATGGCTGCGGGTCTGTGGATGAGCAGCTTTACAATGGTGATATACTCGATATGATGCCCGCGATTTCCGTCTGCGTGGCTGCTCGATCGCTGTCATTAAATGCCGGAGCAAATCCGATCTCAAACCCTGCTTGCTGTCTTCGAGCGTTGCTTGACTCTTCAGCCTGGACAAATCACGTCGTATTGTGCCTCCGCATGGGTGCCGATCCTCCTTGCATCCCCTCCCAATAACCACGGCATTTAGGCTCAATCTGCAAACGGCGCGGAAATAAAAACCCGTCATTGGGAATGTCCAGCAAAAACCTGGGCCGCACCCATCACGGGTTTCAGGACAAGCCAGGAAACAAACCAAGATGGTGATTCTGTCAGCTAGTGGTCTTGCCATTTTTGCAGGCTTGAGTCTTGCTACTTCGGCTGTACCTTCTCTCCAGAAGAATGGCACCACCTGCACCGTTATTCCTTTAGGAAACGGGCGAGATGACGTCCCCAACATCCTCTCGGCAGTTGACCAATGTGGTCAGACCTCTGGAGGGAGAATTGTCCTCCCAGCGCCGTATACCTACCGAATTAACCAGCGGATGACGACTCACCTGACCGATTCTCGACTTGAGATCGGTGGTACGCTTCTCTTCAGCGACAACATCGATTACTGGGTGAACAACTCCTATCGGGTGGACTTTCAGAACCAGTCAAGTGCCTGGCGTATCACGGGCCATGACTATGTTGTGGATGGAGGTCCTCATCAAGGTGGAGTTGATGGGAATGGGCAGCTGTGGTATACTTGGGCCAAGGGAGGTAGCAATGTCTTTGGACGACCGATGCCAGTGCATGTGTTCCAGTCGACGCGAGCGACCCTTCGTAACCTGGCGATCCGACAGCCCCAGTTCTGGGCCGTTCTTGTCGATTCCTCTTCGCATATCAACCTTGATAATTTCTACGTGAATGCCACAAACCATGACTTCTCGGTGAGCCCAGAGGGCGAGTGGGTGCAGAATACGGACGGGATCGACACGTATCGGTCCGACCATATCACCATCACCAACTGGGTATACCAAGGTGGAGATGACGCGGTGGCCTTTAAGGGGAATTCTACGAACATCCATGTGGAGAATGTCACGGTTTATGGCGGGCCGGGCATTGCTTTTGGTTCGCTGGGACAATACCCCGACCGGACGGATATTGTGGAGAATGTGACTGTTCGGAATGTTCAAGTAAGCGAAGCCCGGCGATAACGGTGAGATTCGCACTGACAAGTATAGGTACAACCGTCCTTCCAACGGGCGATGAATTCTGGAGTCTACTTCAAGAGCTGGTAGGTGCCAAGTCCCTCAATGCGATAGGTAGCTGATCGATCAGGATTGGGGTCAACTATGGCGTTCCTCCAAACGGTGGTGGCGGCGGCCATGGATACGTGCGCAACGTGACAGTCGAGAACCTTCGACTCAAGGACGTCCAATTGCCTGTGTATATTGACACTTGGTAAGAGTGATACCACAGTATTAGCATGCTTGGCTAACTCAGGCAGTCTGAGCTACCTCTTCAGCGAAAACATCACGCAGTACTGTGACACATCGACGTATGAATTCAATGATCTACATTTCAAGAATATTAGCGGAAATGGACCCGCAACGGTGACGGACTATCCTGGGAAGAACATTAGCTTCGCCGTGTCTTTGCTTTGTTCCGAAAAGGCACCGTGTACGGACCTCACCTTCCGGGACATCCACATCACGCTTCCCGCGAACTATACTGGCGAAAATGTACTGTGCGAGAATGCAGAGGTGGAGGGACTCCGATGCAATTCATGAGCTGAAGAATGAGACCCATCATGTCCAATGGGAGAAGTCAGGTGCATGTCTCAGACAACCAGTTGTTCGCTTGCCATAGGTAAAGATGCTGTGGGGTAGTTTTCCACCAGTCGACATGTAATCAGCGAGCTACAAACGTTTCCCGTTATTGTTTGGCAATCTGGGGATGGGACCTCGCTCGTATCGAACCCCATTAGATAATCGTGGCGCAGGGGTGGTCCCGGTGTGTATAGACTAGTGGTTAGTATTCTTTCTTTGATCCGATAAAGTTGGATTCCAATAGTTCGGATGTTCTTGTACCCAATAAGAACTTTCAGACTCCGATTTAGGTTTATACTAATAAGACTTCCATCTGCTGAGGCGTCTAACCTGGTCGATGGTTCCATAAAGCACCATGGACAAACGGGCCAAGACTGGATTGTAGGACGATCGGAGCTTCCAGACTGCTACTATAGGATCCACAGCATCGTAGAGCCGCGGGCGTGCCCTTATAATTAACTTCGTAGTCATTTCCGATCAGGTATCCGTGCGAAACTGACTGGCAGGCCTAGAAGGGTCGTGCACGTCAGAGGCGGACATTAAGGTTTCCGCAGCCCGCATGAACCAAGCTTCCACTCGCAGTCCTCGGAGGCACCTCTCTCAGAATAAACCCTTCACGCCTGTCCAACTCTTCTCTCCTGTCTTCTCTCAGTGACGCTTTGGCCTCGGTACTGCGCAGAAAAGTCTGGCAGGAATGGAGGTCTCGGCGCAGTTGCAACCACTCGGCCAGTTTTAGAACTTCCGTCGGCACCTCTTCTCCTTTCATTCCTTTGAAGGCCTTATATGGTCGCTTTTGACACCAGCACCACGTTCGGTATGAGACTCTTTGGCCGATGCGACCGACCTCGGGACTAGGATGTCGCAGGAGGTCGGTATCGACGCAGATGGCGGCGATTTCTCATCGCTGACCTCGAAAGACCCGATCCAGAAATATGTCATCTCCGCCTTTGCGGCCATTACCTTCTACAATTCGATAGAGCTCGTGGTGCTTTGTTTCACGACTTTCAACAGATATCATGGGTGTTATTTCTGGAGTTTACTCGTCACCTCGGCCAGCCTCATCCCTCACTGCGTGGGATACCTGCTCTTTATCTTCTCGTCCATTTCTCCTTATGTGCCAGTGTCTTTGATTATACCTACCTGGATTAGCATAGTTACTGGCCACTCCCTCGTCCTTTGGTCGCGATTGCACCTCCTCGTACATTCGCAGAAGTTGCTGCAGGGCCTCTTGTACATGATTATCATCGACTGCATCGTCCTCCAAATCCCAACAACAGTCCTGTTGTATGGATCACTATCAGGTACTCCCCACTTCGCCAGGGGTTACGACATCATGGAGCGGATTCAGCTTGTCATCTTTTGCGTCCAAGAGTTTATCTTATCCGGTATATATGTGTGGGAAACCATCAAGATGCTGCGCCTTCGTCCCGAGAGGCCACGGTTCATTATCCTCACTCAATTGCTTGTTATCAATGTGATCATCCTCATTCTGGACGTGGCAGTCGTCGCCATAGAGTACGCCGGATATTATGCGCTGCAGGTCATGTTCAAACCTGTCGCGTATAGCGTCAAGCTGAAGTTGGAATATGCTATTCTGGGCCGGCTGGTCCAGATTGCTCAAGGAGCCAGTTCCGATCCGGATCCATTATCCCCAGGCTCTCGCGGATTCAATATCACGGCATCCGGGTTTGACGATTCAGGCAGTAATAATGGAGGTGTCACAGTCGTCCGACAGGTAAACTCGGGACCGTTGGTCAGGCGATGGTCTGGACAGACACATGACAGCGTCGGTTATTGTTAGGAAGGTCCCAGCTCGATGTGTTGATAAAATCGCTGACTCGCTGGGACCAGTTCGAAAACACCCCTCGGAAGTCCACAAGCCGATTTGTTGACTGGAAATAGTCACATGAGATGGCCTATGAAGGCTGGACTCACGGCATCGACCATCGCACCACTTACAATGCCCGAGAATTGCTTCAATTCAAACACAGCCGCTTGACGCGATGGTCCAACCCCGACCACGGACTTATACGCGACCCAACTTTTTATAATGGTCAGGTGGATGGTTCCCCACAATGGTACTCGAGTGCCTCGCTTCCAGGCTTGTGAAGGGTCAGCGGGGTGTTATAAAAGCATATACAGCATACACATATTTGGACGAAATGAGGTCACCCCCTCCAGAGGCCCATTACTTCGAACTAAATACTCATCATAGAACTTAATAGAATAACTTCAAAAAAAGAAGAAACTCTACATCGAATATCTTTGAATGATGGTTCTTTTTGAACGCTTTGATGTGGTAGTCATAGGAAAGCTTGAGCATTCGCACTTTTGTCTATCTGGATAGCAGGGAGTCATAGATGCAGCCTTGGTGCCTGACAAGGTGTAGGAGTAAACGTTGCAGCATTCCAGGACTTTCCAGACGCAGACTACCACGCTACTTGGCTGTCCTTTCTTGTTTCATCACGTTTTCCACAAATGCAACGTTGATCACGCTGTAGTCATTCATTGATACAGTTATTAAGGTATGGCGTTCAGTCAAGGTTTCAAGTCTAGTACTTCAACTTCCAATCATGAATGACAATATGCCTTTCCACCTCGCATCTTGTTCCTTACCATTAGCTCGAGAATCTCCGATCGCGCCTCTATAGCCATGTGTAGCCAGCTCCAACTTCAAGCGTTACGGTGAAAGAACCACGACCTGGTGTCGAGGTATGCCCAGACGGGGATTATTGGGGTAAGTGGAATAAGTATTGGAGGTCATTGTTAGACTTATTCTAAGTTTTGCAGATGCCCCGCAATTACGATCGGTGGGTCCATTGTCTTTCGAGGGCATTCATTGCTTTAACAGACGATTGTCTAATATGCCACCTAGACTAGCAGATTTGTGCCAAATTAACCTACTGTATGATAATTTCCTTACAGTTGGTGCTATGACTTTCCCAAAGAATCAGATCCCACTCTAGCCTTACAACGCTTCAACAAAGTACGCAATCTGCACAATAGTGCATATGGAACTAAGTGGCAGGTTTGTAGGTTTCACAACTCCTGGTAGCTAGCACGTTTGCCGGATGTGGGCCGTGGGGCAAATGCGTGAATGACCCAATAACAAGCCTCACAACCATCTTATGCACTGTCAACCGGAATATGACGGCCTACGTTGGGGCTTACTACAAGCAACATTCCTTTGTCTCTGAGTCTCCAATGCCTCCAGGCAAATAGCTATGGGAAAAAACGCATTGATGGACCAAGGCCCCTGCGAATAAAAACGCAGACCCAGAGCCTGATCCATGGGGTAAGCCATCTAGGAGTTGATGTCTTAGTAACATCTGAGTAATTAGTGTTTCGTCTCCAACTCGTGTCGCCTGTTCCAGTCTAGGATGGCTCACAGCGCAAATTGTTCCCAAGTTTCTGGTGCATCTGGAATTGAACGATTGCGGAAGTGCTTCCGCAAGCATGCTATATTTCTGACACTTATTCTTCGGACAAGTCTGACATTGCTTGAACCACCCCAAGTTCAGCCAAATGACATCTTTGTGTAACATCCACACTAGGAAAACATGGCTTTGATGGCTCTTCATAGAGGCGATTTGACTTCGTATCTCGGGTGCTCGGAGAGAAAGAGCTATGTCTGTGTATAACCACAAGGTCATTGACAGCCTAATGCAGGCTTCTGCTTCATTGTCTGGCTCATGTCTACAAAATGAAGAATGTCATCTGACGGGTGATGATGTGTTGATACTCTCGCTCTCTTGCGGTCTAAGCACGTAATGCAGGTTCTAGATGCGTCCGCCATTCGATTCAAGACGCATCGAGCTCAACCAGAGTTGGGCTGGGGGTATTCTTTCAAAGCTGGACATTAGGCCTACCACATCACAAAGTTATTGTTGGAGAGTCTTGACGCAAGATGACACCTACGCTTCTTACATTGCTTCCAACTTCTATAGTAGGGCTTGTTCAAATCTGAGACCTATATATTGGGGGGGGGGTAAGTTCTCCTATGAACTGTATTTCTTCTCTTTTCGAATCCATCTTTTTCAATTCTCTATGTGATCATATCTTACTACAAACCAGTCAACCTCCAAATCTTCTTGTGGTGCTCAGCATCGACATCAAACACCATGGATACCTTCGGCTTACATGCAGACGGACCCTTTGGTGGGCTCGGCGGCAGTGCCTACGATGCCAGAGATAATGAAGAGAAAGTCAAGCGTGTTGATGTATGGACCGCAAATTACGGGGACCGCAACTACGAAGTTATCGGAGGTATCAATTTCGAATTCCAGGACGGTTATTCGACTGGTAGAATCGGCGGAAGGGATCCCGCCATCCCACTTTACGGTCCATATTCGTATAATTTTGCGGACGATGAAACAATAAAAGAGATGCATGTCTATGCTGGTCACGATGACGGCTTCGTCAATGGACTCAGATTCTCAACAAATCGACAAGATAATGCTTACGATGTTGGTGGTCATGAGGGTAATGACAATAAATTGGTTGGCTCTGATCTTGGTGCGAATGGAGAATGGGCCGGAGCTACAGGCAGAGACAACATACACGGCGCTGATGCTGTTGTGGACAACATGATTCTATATTTCAAGGAGTGATGTTGATTTTTGACTACTATTACCTGGCTCGCGTTGCTTCGGTTTCAAATTGGACTCTGCAAGGTGCACTGCCTACCTAATTATTGCTCCTGTTATACTTGTAGCTGGAGCATGAGGTATAGTGGAATGCCTGTGTGTACCATGTTCAATAATTTTTTAGGTGGAGGAAAGTGTTAATTAGTTGACTTCATCGCACAAGATGCCTTGGTATGGGTTTTTGCCGGAGTCATCCGTTTTCCCCATACTGTCGTGCGAATGCAGAGGCAACTGAGATAGTATAACAATGTAATAACCGTTGCTCTATTATAATACAATATATACTTCACATAATAGCCACATTCCCTATTCAATATAAATCTACTCACAATAAACTGTAAAACCAAAAAAAGCATACAAGGAAACTCTAAAGGTCGAAAATAATTCACTTCCACGGGCAAAATTTTAGAAGATGTTTGTTTGGATTAAGACAATATGCGCCCTACACAGGAGCAAATATCGAAGAATAAGCAAAAAATCATGACAAGAGTGGGATTCGAACCCACGCCCCTTTCGAGACTAGGAATGCTCCGAAGAACATGGAAGATCAGATACACCTGACCCTAGCGCCTTAGACCGCTCGGCCATCTTGCCCGTTTTGTTATAGGTTGGCTAATATCTTAGCTCTATCAATGTCGTAAACTAGTTTTGCGAACCGAGTCGGTCACCATCTTCCGCAGTATTTCGCTTTGCACTGAGTTTGCGATATCATGAGAGAGCTACGGAGGTAACAGCACTATGGAACCTCGGTTAGCCTAAAGAACATTACAATTCCGATGGCTACGAAAGATAAGTGCCAGTGGGGGAGTTTGGCTGATACCAACTACCATTGCCACCTACATATATTTCCCGCTACTGCAGGTTTCCCAACATCATCCATCATGAAAATTCAACTCTTAACATTAAAAGGGGCAGTTTTCCTACCCGTGAACTTAACCAAGCACTACTACTTGTTTAGATTTACAGTCCAGCATAACTATTAATACTTGGTGATTATTATTGACAGCCGCCCATTCTCTCTCCAATCTCCCACATGAACAGTTCAGACGCCCTCGCCCTTCTTTCGCGGATACTGCCAGGTCCAGTTCCGAATATAATCCGGATCAATGCCATCATCGTATGCTTTCTCCTTTGCCAGCAACTGCATATTCAGGAACTTCTCCCTCACCCCGGACGCCGTATTGCCCAGTCCGCGGGCATGATCGATCGCATCGACAGCCAAACTATACCGATCGGTCTGATTCCTCACCGCCAGCTCAAATGGCGTATCGATGTTCCCCTTCTCCTTGTAACCCCTGACATGAATATTCTCCTGTCCGGGTCTCTTATACGTCAACCGATGGATAAGCCACGGGTACGAATGAAAGTTGAACACGATCGGCCTATCAGCTGTGAAAATAGCCTTCCATTCCCGATCGGACATTCCATGCGGGTGATGGATCTTGGACATGAGTTTGAACAGATCGACCACGTTGACGAAGCGCACTTTCAGCTGGGGGAGGTGCTCGCGTAGGAGCGCCGTCGCGGCTAGTGCCTCGTGGGTGGGAACGTCGCCGCATGCGGCCATCACGACGTCTGGTTCCGCACCTTGGTCGTTACTGGCCCAGTCCCAGATTCCGACGCCCTTGGTGCAGTGGGCGATTGCGGCGTCCATGTCCATAAATTGGATGTGGTCTTGTTTGTCGGCGACAATGACGTTGACGTAGTTGGCGCTGCGGAAGCAGTGGTCCATTACGGAGAGGAGGGAGTTCCCGTCTGGCGGGAGATAGATGCGTACGACTTCGGGAGACTTGTTGGCCACGACGTCCAGGAAGCCTGGGTCTTGGTGCGTGAAGCCGTTGTGGTCTTGGCGCCAGACGGTCGCAGTGAGGAGAATGTTCAGCGAGGCGACTTTGGCACGCCATTCAACCTCGAGACATTTTTCGATCCACTTGCAGTGTTGGTTCACCATTGAGTCGATGATGTGGATGAAGGGCTCGTAGCTGTTAAGGAGCCCATGACGACCTGAGAGGACGTAGCCTTCTAGCCAACCTTCACAGGTGTGTTCACTGAGCATTTCCATTACTCGACCGGACATGGAGAGGTTTCCACCGTTAGAATCTTCGGGGAAGTATTCGGCTAGCCAGACCTTTTTTCCGGCTTTGTAGATCTCAGAGAGCTTGTTCGATTCGGTTTCGTCCGGCCCGAAGACACGGAAGTTGGTCTGATTGAAGGCGACCACATCACGGAGGTAGTGTGACATGTTAACCATGCTGCCGCGAATGGTGGCCCCGGGATCGATGGACGTGAGTGCGTACTTGTGGAAGTCGGGTAGGTCCAACGGTCGCCGTAGGAGGCCACCGTTGCCCACCGGATTGGCGCTCATACGATGATTACCGGTTGGAGCGAGGGCCTTGAGTTCAGAGATCAGTCGGCCTTCTCGAGTGAAGAGCTCTTCAGGTTTGTAGCTCTTCATCCACGATTCAAGAAGTTGGAGATGCGAAGGATTGGTGAGGACGTCGGTGATAGGGATTTGGTGGGCACGCCAGAAGCCCTCGAGAAGTTTGCCATCAACTTCGCGCGGGGCGGACCAACCCTTTGGGCTGCGCAGAATAATCATGGGCCAGTGTGGGCGGAAGGGCTCCTTGGACTCGCGGGCTTTCTTCTGAAATTTTCTGATTTCAAGGACACAGTGCTCGAGGGTGGCTGCCATGGCTTGATGCATGGTTTCACGGTCGCTACCTTCCACAAAATAGGGCGTCCAACCGTAACCTTTCATGAGGGCGGAAAGTTCATCATGGGAGATGCGTGCGAGCAGTGTCGGATTGTTAATCTTGTACCCGTTGAGATGGAGCACGGGCAGAACGGCCCCGTCGGTGCATGGGTTGAGATACTTGGTGCTGTGCCAGCTTGTAGCGAGTGGGCCAGTCTCAGCTTCACCATCGCCCACCATCGCCAAGGTGATCAAATTTGGATGATCGAAGACGGTGCCAAAGGCATGCGAAATGGAATAACCCAGCTCGCCACCTTCGTGAAGACTACCGGGGGTTTCTGGGGTAGCGTGACTGCCGATACCTCCGGGGAAAGAGAATTGCTTGAAGAACTTTTGCATTCCTCGCTCGTCTTCTGACTTGTCCGGGTAGACCTCGGAGTAGACTCCCTCCAGGTATGACTGAGAGAGAATACCAGGAGCACCATGACCCGGGCCTGAGATGAAGAGAACGTCCAGATCATACTTCTTGATCAGCCGATTCATGTGAATCCAGGTAAATGATTGCCCCGCATCTGAGCCCCAGTGACCAAGTAGGCGTGCTTTGAGATGCTCCACCTTCAATGGCTGTTTGAGGAGTACATTTTCGCGCAGGTAGAGCATGCCTAAGCATAGGTACATGCTGGCGCGAAAGTAGGCGTCCATCTTCCGGATTTCCTCAGGGTCAAGGTTCTGACCCTTGACCGTGGAGCGAGCAGCTCCATAAGCGGAGATGCTCTGATCGTTCGAATCCGATGGCATGTTGTATATGTTTTATGCCTGATAAAGTACCTTTAGTTGAGTTGAAATCTGTGATGCCGGTGAGCTCCTATTTAAGACGGATATCTGGATGGCTGGAACTGGCCATTGTTGATGTGGGCTGACATCCCAATGGGCTCTATGCTCGTGATTCCCGGATAGTATCCTGGTAAACGCCATGTAGTAGCCAGTCCATGACGCTGGCTTCCGTCACTCTCCGCGTCTGCTGCGTCACTGGATGGGATGATGTATGTTAATTGGTTCGGATGGTCTCTACCGGAGTTGTGGTACGCTAGTCCTGTTCCGGGGCTGACATCTCTCCCCGGGCCGTTTGTGTGGGCCGACACCTTATCTTATGGGCTGATGTTCAGCGTCTTATCCCGGAGTTTGGCGGTAGGTGCTGAAGTATAGGTTGGAAGGACTATAGATGTGGAAAGCCAGTCCTACTTTTACTTGTGTTCCTTAGCACCAAGCTCATCAAGCAATCTTACATTACTATCTTTGGGCAGGCCAGGTCGGACGTCAACTGACGGTGAATGCTATGATAGCAACGTGGATTACAAGTCACGAAGTATCTACAAGCCAGGGTTTCTCAAGCAATGACCACAAGTTGATGCTATTTAGAACAGCACAGCCAAATCACCAGAGGCGTATCAACATTAGAGAAAGTACATGTTTAGCCCAAATAAATTTCTCCGCTACCTCACCATGTACCACATTCACCAATCTCAATACTCAAAAGCTTCGCCAACGATATCTTCAGTCAGCTTCCACAGTCGTTCTGCCTCGATCAGATCCCGGGCCCAGCTGCGGACCTCCTCCGGCCTGACTACTGCACAGTCTTGGACAAAGCCTCCATTATTCTCTGCCAGACTTGATTAGCTTGAAGAAATGACCGGCACATAGAGAATACTTGCCACTGGCGGAGATAGCTGGATGAAATGCGGCAAATACATGCGTCGCCACACCTTGCGACATAGACTTCCAGGTTATCTCTCTTTGCCCACTCCGAAAGTACCCGAGTACTGTGAACCATTTTGCTTGGGTAATGTCAGTAAGCCCTCGCATCAAAGAATACATAAGTGACCTTACCGAGTGATTCATACATCTCATTCCAGTCTCCTCTCGCCAGATTCGTGTTGATAGTACCAGGATGTAGGCTGACTGAGGTTAGGCCTTTGCTCCCTAGCTTTTGTGCTAGAGACACAGAGAAGAGCATGTTGGCCGACTTGCTTTGGCCGTAGGCCAGCCAGGGGTCATAGTTCTTGCCTTCCTGATATACCCATCAACTCATTATCTCGACATTTGGGGGGGGGGAGGAGCATGGCATGATGATAACTTACGTCAAAGTTCCAGTCATGGAACCTAACTGGACTCAACTGATGGTCATTGCTAGACACATTCACAATCCGGCATGTCTTTCCAGGAATCACTAGCTTTTTCATGATCAAATTGGTGAACAGAAAATGCCCGACGTGATTGGTGGCAAATTGACTCTCAATCCCATCATCCGTTAGCGAGAACGGCGATGCCATGACACCAGCGTTGTTGACCAAGACATCTATATCCTCCTTGTATGTCAGAACTTCCTTAGCGGCGATTCGAACTTGGGCCTGAGAGCGCAGATCTAGTTCAAGGAGACGGGTGGGTACTCCTGGCGCAATGTCTGCGATCTCCTGGGCTGTCTGCTGAGCTTTGACAATATCGCGGCTAGCAAGAATAAGGAGGGAAGGGTCGTGAACGGCAATGACCTTTGCAAACTCGGCACCAAGACCACCTGGGCTAACGCCAGTCACGAGCACAGTCTTGTTGGCAATGGCATCCTGGCAATCCTGTGCTACCTGTTCTGCTGAAGTCTGAGAGGAATATGAAGACATGATAATGAGAAGCGATCTGCGAGATCTGATACTCAAGTAGTTATACCACTTCTGAAGGATATTTCCAAATTGATGAAAGATGAGTTGCAGTGAGTTGCAGATGAAGAGGATGGACCAGAAGTCCGGTATGTGGGATATGATCGCAGTATATATAAGGCTCTGGTTGAAAGATGCGTACAGCCTCCCTAAACTTATTTCCAAGATAGTCAAGGAATCCACGTATAATTCAACCCAATTCGTATATACTCTGGTCATCAATTCGACCGATTTTGCTCCTTATGTTGGCTCAATTAGTAGATTTCCTATTTAGGCCGAATTAATCTGAGACTGGCAACCCGATTGGGTTAGTGTCTGAGGCTGGCGATGACGGAGATAACGGAGCCACGCTAAGCCCGGTCGCTTTCGCCAGGATTACTATCCCATATGACCCTTGATTTCTCTTCTTTCGCATTTCCTTCGTGTATATTGCATCTGGGATCGTCCAGTGTCTTACATCTATTCTCGATGGATAACATTCCGAGTGAGGTGGTATTCTCAACGGGGCCATTACCATCCGAATCGGTGGTGTTTCAGTATACCAATGGTCCACTCAAGATATCTCCACCAAAGAGGAGAGGGCGTCCCGCAGGATGTGAGTCTACAGACCCATCTTAAAATAGAATACCAGCATGCGCTGACCAAAGATAGCGACAAAGAGGAAGCAACACCTTGAGGGGTCCAGGGCACACCCTGCCGCCGCTTCCAACTTCAAGTTCATCAACCTTGGGCCCACGTTGGCCCCAACCGATGAAGAAGAGCGCACCACCATCAGAAGCCACAAAATGAATAACCGCACTCGTCAGGACCAGAGGAAAGCCGAGAGTACTCCTGGCGATACTAACCTCGAGCTGTCTCGCCTGACCCACATCCACATTCCACATGCATATCCGCAGAGGAACCAGACCGATCCATTTGACGCGCTGCCCATCACCATGGAACCATACATGTTCGATCTCTTTGCATTTTGTAAGTGAGAAGTGAAATTTCATTTTCCTGTACACACATAGCTAACAAAATACTCTCGAAGACAAAAATCGCGCATCAGAGACACTATACTCAATTGAAAAGAGAGCTGGCTGTAATCCAATAGACGACTATTGGGTACCAATGCTGTTTCAAGATCCAGCAATGCTTCATGTAGTACTGGCATGTGGATCATTATTTACAATGGACCTGCAACGCTTTCGAGCAAGCCCGGCCTTTATATGGCATATTAGTCGAGCTATGAGCATTGTTCGAAAGAGACTCCTGAATTCGGTGGATTCGCCTTCGGATGAAACAATAGTTGCCGTTGCCAGCATTGCTATCGCAAAAGTGGGTAGATCTCCATACAAAATTCGACGGATGTGCTGGCTAACCCTTGCACAGAAAGCAGCGGGCCAGCATGATCAATGGGAAGTTGACATGAGAATCCTGAAAGCGTTAGTTGACATGCGAGGAGGTTTGGACGCACTGAATGACAATCCCATGGTACAGGGAAAGATATATAGGTAACTCGGGTTGATTCTCATGGTTCTGATAGTTTCTTACCTGATCCTTTAGGGCCGATATCAGTGGATCCTTAGATGGTGGACGAAAGCCCATATTCAGTGATCGGTTCCAACAACCTCCGATATCTGGTCAGCAAGCCTACCATCTAGCCGAAGGTTTTCAAGAGCTGGATGTCCTGCTGCGCATTGACAGGGCACTGAAAGCAGTGATCTATGATATTCAATCCCTAGTCGAGGAGTTCTCTAGTATCACAAAGAGCAGCGGCCAAACCGTCGTCGCGAGAATCCGTTTCTGGATGACATCACTACAGTATACACTTCTTTCAATGCAGTATGGCGACGATTGTTCCAGAACGCAAGCCCTGGAGGTCTGTCGACTAAGCCTTTTACTACTGATCAATGCGGTGTTTCATGAGTCTCCCCCTGGTGCATCGACCAGCGATGTACTTATCTCACAGCTGCGGCGGCTTCTGGGGAATGCTGAAGCATTAGATTGGTTTCCGCCCAGCTTTCGTCTTTGGACCCTATATCTTGCTGCTTGCAATGTTGCTTCTCCCACATTAAGGGCTTGGTCGGTTGCAGCTATCGCGGAACTGGTGATGCAAATAGGCATCTCAGATGAAGAAGAGTTCAGTCAACAGCTCACGTTGTTCCCATTTGACCCGCTTACACAGAATGTTATCTGTCCAACCATATGGAATGAGGTACAATATTTCGTTCAGAATCAGTCGGGAGGGGATAGCACAACGCTTTCATAACCCCCTTGAGAAAGAAAGTCATAGTGGAACGGTGCATGAACTTCTTCGAACAACCTACCTCGTTCATTGATATCTCTAGCACGGCTCCTGAGCAAGCGTACTCCAGTGAATTGAATCTCTATGGGCTTCCGCACCTATCCACGCTGTTGTCGTACATGGCTCTGTGAAGTATAAACAAACAGATAAACAGAGGTCTTCCATTTTAAAGGCCAGTAACACAGAAAATTTCAAGATCAAAATTTTGAAAGTTCACGCAGTCTAAGGACACCATATCCTAACGAAGGAAGCTTGAGGCGAGCACTAGGTTCCTGAATCCCCCCTACACGTAAAGTTCCACCACATTCTACGAATATATCTCTACTATCTATCAGAGGCACCGAAGATGCCCGAGTGATGCCCAAATCTACGGGTTTCTGCTCAGCTACAAGAGGTAGCCTCCGGTAGGTGAGCTTGCCTTTGCAGCAGTATTCATAGTATTTATCTCTGGGGAAGGTAAGATCCGGTGTAGAAGTCAGTGAGAGGCTAATAATGTCAATATAGAGGGCAAATTCCGCTGGCTTTACAGTCGAAAACAAGTATATAAGGCAGGTGGAACCCCCTCGATCTGGCTTTGAATCAATCAGCTCTCGTTCACGTCTCTACGGACCACTCGATTCGGCCCCTATTTCAATGCTTATATTACGACCCAATATATAATGTATGCATAAGGCAGAGATCATGGCTACAATGGCCGAAGTGAAGGGACTTTAGTTGATCGAAACGTGTCTCGTCCTATCATGCTGCCCTCAGAATCACCTGCAGTGGTAAAATGATGATGGAATCGTATAGAGAAGGCACCCAGAGAGTCAAGTGTCTCTGAAACCCAGCAATATAAAGAAAAACAGTGATTACTATGTCTACCAGTCCAACAACAATCGAGTTCTCATGCTACTCAGCCAGGACATACACTACCCGCGTAAACAACAACTACAATTACTGCAGCCTGAAGACAGAAGAATCAAGTGTGCGGTAGAGTTGGTCCTCCAAGTTATCCTAGGCTTGCCAGAGACAGTTATTTGGGTGCCTCAGAAGGGGTGACTCTGTGTGTGGATGAATATCTTACAAATGATACCTCTACAAACACCTGCTATGGTGGCGGCTGAGACCAATAAATGGATGGGCAATTCCGGGCTAAGTTAACCACATAAAGTGACAAGCGAGACGATATATTTATTTCGTCCGGGTGCTTTTTTCGATGCCACGTCTCCTGTCGATGTGAGTCGTGCTATCTGGTCTGGAGAGAGCGGAGCTCTATGCCAAACGCCTTCGAGCATTATATATAAAGGAATTCTTCGTTTACAGCAAAGCCTACTACACAGTCACGGGGGAGATTGAGAGGATGTATGGAACATTCAATGACATGCGGTGAATCTACTTCTGCCCTGAGAGGCACAATGACGAGTATCTTCATATGCCTGACAATATGTCTCGCTTGCGTCCTTGCCAACGAATTACTGCACGTGGTCAGACCATACGGTTGATACCCTTCTCGCCATAGATGGACAGTGACGATGATATAACGGCTGACCCAACAGGCCTTTCCAAAGGGCCACATTCGAGCTATGCATCCAGCCCAACTTTACCTAATTGCAGCGTGAGCCAATTGTGATCACGACGCAACATGTCATTGTGCTTCTGGTTAATTCTAATGAAAAAAGCTACCCGCCGCAGTCTGTCATGCGACCACCATCATCGCTACATTCTGTCTATCTACATAAGGAATAACAATAATGCTCTGGCGCCAGTCAATGGGGAATTACAAGAGTAAAATTGCCAACGAGCACAACTCTCTCCGACCCTGGATCTTATATAGCATATCGATTACACTGCTCTGGCGTCAGATGTCAGTGTACAATAACAGAGACAGAATCATCAATCTCTGTCCTCGCGCACCTCTCCAAACTGAAGATCGACATGTGCACACCCTTCTCAACAACAGCCTGGCGAAACACCATCTTATCATATCAGGAGCTTGATAACACGGATAATCCCACTTGGCCAGGAAAAAAATTCATACACATTGAGTCTAATCTGTGCACTAATACCAACAAAAGTAATGGCGGTTTCCGATGCCAGGCTCACCCACACCTGAAGCCAAGTCTGATCCGAAGCAGAACATGGCAACGACAATACAAACCATACAATCTGCAAGTGGATCAAGAAAAAGCTCTACACCGCTGTGTCGCTTACAATCAGATTCGTCATTTGCATCACACCCGCATTATAATCTGGAGACTATGAACCCCAATGGAAGGGTTACATCCAGAAGCAATGAGTAGTCTTCCACTTCCGCGGTATGACTTCTGTACCACCCACCCACTTGCAATATAGATTGGCGGTATCGCGTGCTGAAATCACTTTGAATACTGCCATTTTGGTCTGGCCTGGGGCTTCTTCCAAACGTCAGAGATACAGGGAATTAGCAAGATATACAACAGGATAGACAATATATTGCTTGGTCGTTGTGTCTTGGAAGACTACATCCCAACGATCCTTGTCGACGATAATGAATATATACATCATCATGCCTGGCCTCTTGACTGGCTGTGGCTGCTGAGTGACTTTCCAATGGGCCGTTAATTTCTCTCTATAGTTCAGATAGTCTTGAAAATTGAAGCAAAGAGAAAGAAATGGCAGTATCGGTATGGTGTTTGCTGGCTCCACATTTCATGTAAACCTACGTCTCAAAAGCTATGTCAGCATCTTCCTCAGACAAACGAACAAACAGCAATCTCACCAACGACAAGTCTTACGCAAATGACACCAAGTACAGCCAATAGGCCTGCATGCTGTATACATACCTACCTATACATACAGAATATCTGAAGAATACAAACTTGTCCGATCAGTGACAGCAATCCCCATCATCTTTCAAGCTGGCCCTTCCTCGAAGATAGGGAACCAGATCACACCGAAAGATACACGCGTTGGAACCACTTACGATGCGTCCTCCCTTCGACACTTAGCTTCAAGCATTACCGGAGGGAGCGGGGGCTATACCGATAAGCCCTACGTGATGCTCCATCCAGATAAAACAAATCACTTCTCAAAATTTACCAGGTGCTCCTGGCTCTATAGACACATCTACACCACCACATCACTAGCAAAATAGAGATGAACTATGCCAGTACATTCTATCCGGGCTAGCATCTACCTCTTGCCGAAGGAGATTCTTCTCATCAACACCCCATCGATTTGAACAACCACTCCCCAACCTACTGCATTCGCAAAATGTCCAACCATCTTGGATATACAAATTCCCTTTCTCGCCATTGGTGTTTCCGGTCCGCAAGTTTTTGAACACTGCACAATATCCGGACTGCTTTTCTAGTATATAGGATATCAGAAAGAGCCCACCAATTTCAGAAGGACTTTGGATGAAAGGAGAATACGAAGTGGAGTGAACAATCGCCTACCAGAAGAAGGTGGCGTGTCTCTGTTCCATATAGATTAAGGCTTGCTTTTGAAGCAGGAAGACACATACACACCGCCTGCCTGCCATTTCCACAGATACAATGTTCGTACGGCACTGAAACAACTAAAGTAGGAAGAAGAGGGTGAACACTACTAGTAATACCATCTTACCTTATTTATATGGAACAGACCTTACCCTTCTAGGGTAGGCGGAGGGTATGACCTGAGATGAGTGAGCAAAGGCCAGCCGGTGTGGGGCTGCCTGCCTGCCTGGCCAGTATGGCGGTAGCTGTCCCTCATATTGAACAGATACCACCCACAATGATGGGTCTGGACTGAGCGGGAACTATTAGCTCAAAGTTAATGATGGTTATTATTGGAAGATGATCTAACCATTATCAACATTCCGGATAGCTATGATTCTTGCTTTTCTGGTCTTGGGCTGTATATGTTCGACTGATTTGGTCTAGTCTCATGATTGCTGCTGGTTGCTTGGTTAGGAGAAAGTGCGTTTGCTTGCGATGTTATGGGTTTGTGAACCTGGTAGCTACGGTTGCGTAGCGTGTCATTAGGTGGTTTCAATGTGAACTTTTTGATCATAGGTAGTAGATGGTGGGGATAGGGAGATGAATGGACAGAAAGCGGAAATAGCTTAAGGTTGCATGTTACACTGTCAGTGCTGGGAATGTTGGAATTCAAAAAATAAAGCGTTCTGATCCAATAGATTGGTATGCCTCAGTGTTCTATCCTACAAACTACCTTAGCATTGAACATTAAAAATAACGTCGCCCACGAACATGACCCATAATCACGGCATCTTGCTTTCACTAGCCCAGTAACGAAACAAAATATTCCACATAATCCAATATGAATTATACGGAACCTAGAGATGAAGACATTTATTCAATATATAGGATATGCATCCCTGCCCACAATGATTAGTATCAATGTGAGAGGGCTCTAGATCATTATCTTTCTGACTCTGGTCCTTGGGTAGGACCTGGCCATTATTTGTTACATATTCAAGTAGGCTCTCAGTATAAAACCATTTGAAGCTTGCTATTCTATCTGGAGACGTAGTTATGATAGTACGATTTTAGATGTCGAACTTCTCGCCACATATCCGTACCAGAGCCTTAATCATTGGTACTATCATGGCATTATGTTGCGTCTAAAATCATAGTATAAGTAAAATGAATTCTCTTTACATATGATCAGCTATCTTTGACATAGACAGAACCTCTTGTTCCATGACTAACGTGGAATGTAATATAGTATCCGCAAAGCCCCAAGGGCATGCTTTTCAGTCCAGTGAAAATCCAGCCCAATTGACTGAATATCTGAAGAGGTTGTCACGAGGTGCTATGAGTCCCAAAGTAATGGCACAGAGCTCGAAGCTTCCGCTTGGTTTGTGTATTTTCTTGTAATCACCTGACCTACGAATTGCCAAATGAAGGGCACACAAATGACGATGGTTGTGCTTATAATATACTATTTTTGATTCAAGGTAAAGGCTGAATCTTAACCTCATTACTACGCGGGAAAGG